CCTGTACTTGGCAATGACTGAGGAGACATGTTGACCATTTTATTCCAGTTGCTGTCATTCATATGGTCGTCCAAGACCTAGGCCCAATGGGTGAGGGTGGCCGTGCGGGTACTCCTCGAGATATCATTGAGCTGTGCCCAAAGGCTTTCCAATATTTCCCCATCTACCATTCCAGCTCCGGGAATAAATGACATCGCCAACCGGAAGAGGCACTCATCCTGATGACCATGGACATGAAATAAACCAATTCCCATGATCAAATTAGCCTTCTCAGAGATGGAAAGATTTGGATTGTTAGCAATCCTGTCCCAGAGATTAACATGATACTGACACATCACGTCATATATGATCATGATATCGTCCAAACCATTCAGTCCCATGTTCTTCAGCGTCTCACAAAGAGCATAGTCGATGTTCAGCTGGTGCTCGCCCTTCTGAAAGTCAACAACGCTGCCTGGAATGAAGGCGCCTGATCGGGGGCAGGCAAATGCCGCAATGCCAGTTCAGGGCATTCAGTAGCTGCACTATGGAACCATAAAAGTACAACATGGACAATTGTCCTATGGGTCATAGGGCTACCCAAATGGGCCCAACACTCTGGACGTCACTATGGGGCCATGGGTGGGCCCAGTTCCTTAAAGACACCTAAGGGTGAATGTTGGGCCCAAATGTCAGGCCAAACCAAATCCTGCCAAATAGGCATTTGGCCCAATTATGGTCATTTGAGTGGGTTAACTTAGCCTAAGGATAGTTGTTGGGCCCAATATCGAGAGTCCCAATGGCTGTATGATGGGCCCAAAGTGTTGGGAAGCTGAAGAATTTTACCCGGTTTTTTGGCACTGGACTCCCAGTATTTTAGCGGAACTTGCGGTGGGTCGGAACTTTCGGGTTGAGTGGAACTTTCGGGTTGAGCGGAACTTTCGGGTTGAGCGGAACTTTCGGGTTGAGCGGGAATTGTGGGGTTTGGTGGAACACAAGGATATTGTTTATCAATTCAAACATCCACAGGACATCCAAAAAACAACCCTGGAATGATTTAACTATGAAAAGGGCATCCAAACACAACCCTGCATGACATTAATTGGGGACATCTGAAAAGCATCCTGGATGTCCACATAAATGTTCTGGAAAAATGCGAAATGGCTGGAACATTAATTGGAATATACACAGAACATCCAAAAAGGACTCTGGATGTCTGCATAAATGTTCCGAAAAAAATGCGAAATGCCCGGAACATTAATTGGGGACATCCAAAACAC